CATCATTGATGTTTCTATGTCTCTTCCCTCTCACTTCCTCTCTGAAATCAATTTAAAAAATTAAGTTATAGTCTGGCAGTAGTGATGGTTTGTATCATAAACATAGTCCTGTACTTTATAAGAGATAGTGGCCCTTGCTGAGCGACTACATCGAGAAGGAGTACTTAGGTCAGTTAACGTCCATCCCAGGGTACCTGAACCTGTCCAGTCAGACTGAGATCCTGCACTTCATAGACAACGCCAAGAGAGCCCACCAGCTGCCCGGACACCTGACGCAGGAGGACGATGCGGTCATCAGCCTGTCGGCCTACAATGTCAAGCTGGCCTGGCGGGACGGCGAGGACACCATCCTCCGGGTGCCCATCCACAACATCGCCGCCGTGTCCTACGTGCGGGACGGCGCCTCGCACTTGGTGGTCCTGAAGACAGCCCAGGACCCCGGCATCTCCCCCAGCCAGAGTCTGTGTGCGGAAAGTTCCAGAGGCCTCGCCACAGGCTCTCTGTCTGAGAGTGGAGTGGGGCCTATGGAGGCCTGCTGCCTGGTGATCCTGGCCACGGAGAGCAAGGTGGCGGCGGAGGAGCTGTGCTCGCTGCTCGGGCAGGTCTTCCAGACCGTGTACACCGAGTCCATCATCGACTTCCTGGACAGAGCCATCTTCGACGGGGCCTCCACCCCCACGCACCACCTGTCCCTGCACAGCGATGACTCCCACCAAAGTGGACCTGAAGGAGCCGTAAGAGGCGGACGCCAGCAGCTTCTCCTTCCCCGAGTGCGTGCCCACGGCGCCCCACGCCAAGAAGGCCAGCGAGAGCGAGCTGAGCGCCACGGCCTCCGAGCTGCTGCAGGACTACATGCTCACGCTGCTCACCAAGCTGTCCTCGCAGGAGATCCAGCAGTTTGCGGCGCTGCTGCACGAGTACCCGACGGGGCCTCCGTGCACGAGTTCTGCATCAACCTGCGGCGGCTCTACGGGGACAGCCGCAAGTTCCTGCTGCTGGGTCTGCGGCCCTTCATCCCCGAGAAGGACAGCCAGCACTTCGAGAACTTCCTGGAGACCATCGGGGTGAAGGACGGCCGCGGCATCATCACCGACAGCTTCGGGCGGTACCGGCGGGCCGTCAGCTCCGCCTCCACCTCCACCTCCAACGGGAACAGAGTGGCTGGCAGCTCCGACGACCAGTCTGTGCCCTCGGAGGGGGACGAGTGGGACCGCATGATCTCGGACATCAGCAACGACATCGAGGCGCTGGGCTGCAGCCTGGACCCTGACTTGGCCTAACACCCGGCCGTGGCTGCCTCCCCGCCCAGGGCCGGGCCAGGCCTCCTACTGTGAAGGAGACGGGCAGAGGCTGCTGAGCGCCCGCCCGCGGAGCCCGGACAGCGGTAGTTTTGCACATGACGTTCCTATCGAAACTCGGAGACCTTAAAGAAATGGCTGCAATGTGAATACTTTTTAAAAAAAGAGAGAGAGATAGTAGCCTTGTTCCTTAACTTCCAGAGGGACTGATTGCTTTAAACTCACCCAGGTAGATCCAAGAAAATATCTGCAATTAGGACTTGATTTTCAAAGGCAGGGAAAGGGGGTTGATCAGCTATTCCTTCTGGTGAAGGTGAGATGACACTGAAGGGTACCAGTTTGCCAGCCCAAAATATGCCTGTGGGATATTGATTCTGGTTATATTTAAGAAAGACGCAGAAAAAAATCTTTTCCCTTTTCCCTAACTGCCTAAACAGCATGATTTCTTTGAGATCATCATAGATAACCACAGTTTATTATGAACTAAGTGTAATTGACAGGGAGGAACCTGGCAAGGCCCAGTTGATCAAAGTCCTCTCTGTGTCCCATCCTTAAAGATGACCCAGCAAACATTTCTTTACCAAATATTTGCTTTTCTATCTCCTTGTGAATTGCCCTCCTGCCCTTTGAAGTTCCAAACCACAACCCCCCTTTCTCCTTATCTCAAGGTGGCACATAAGCCTTAATTGTCTGATCTGTCCTCAGATCCCATATTCTTATGGCACCGCTGTATGTACATACAGATGACATTTGGTGATTTTCTCCTGTTAATCTGTCTCATGTTAATTTGATTATTAGCCCAGCCAGGAGAACTTGAAAAGAATAGGAAGGGAAATTATTTTCCTTCCCCACATCATAGTCAGGGCTTCTGAGACTAAGGCTTTGGACTTGCCATCCAACAGGACATCCTATATAATAAAAGGCTAATATGAAAATTGTCCCCTCGACTGGGAGTTCGACCAGGAGTTTGACCAGGGGGTGGAGCTGGCCAGCCAACTGCCCATGGCCCCTCCCCTTGGCAGGCCCGGCCTGATCAGTTCCAATTGGGGTGGGCTGGCCAGACCCCACCTGGGCACAAATTCATGCACCGGCCCTCTAGTCATTAGTATAGTGAAAGCTTTGGACATCAGAGGGTATAGGTACTTGAATTAAATCTTGGCTTACCCACTGGTGACAAATTGTGTGTGGGGGTGGGTTTCCCCATGAATGTGTTTTGCAGGTGGCAGTGCCTTAAGAAGAAAAAGAGTGTGCACAGCCAGGTCACAGGAGGTCTCCTCATGTCCCCTAACTTGGTCTGTATGACCCCTATGTCTTTCTCCAAAAAGGCATTGCGACTTTACCAGCTCCATGGTGGGTACCAATTTGTCAGTGGTCAAGGAGTCCCTAAGTACCAGTAGCCATATTTCTATAGATTCAATTGGTAAGGATTTATTATTTACACAGACAGTAAAAGCAAAGTCAGTATTGTGTCACACCCCATATGCCTAGTCCTATAGGGTGACACTAAACCAGACTGGCTACACAACAGAAATCATATGTGTTGTGTCACTCTGTTATTGAGAACCCTCCTCTACACTACAGCAAGCAAATGATGTTTTTAAGAAATTGTTTATTTTTCATCAACCTTTTCTTCATTCTGTTAAGAGTTTGTGGAAGAACAGCTTATGACCACTCAGGGTCATTCCTACCCATTCGGTGGCCTGAGAAGTGGGGGCTGCAGACCAGTCTTTAGCGGCAGGCTGAGTGCTCCAGTGTAGAGTAGAAAACTGTTAAATGCGCTCAGAGGGCACCTGCACCCCTTCAGAGCTGCCTGTGAACTCAGGCTGAGCAGCAGTGAACTCAGGAGCTGAGCAGTCCATTCACCCCCAAATATCTCCTTGGTCATAGCCTTTTCAGCAGCCACCTTCTTTTTCAGTCTCTTCGGGGTCTCTGTAGAAGTAGAGATCAGGCGTGACCTCCCATGGTTGTTCATGGGAAATGCTGCCATGCATGTACAGAACTTCCTGGGCCAACATCCACCACACCAGACCCACTGTGCGAACCCCCTTATTGCACGGAATGGCAATGTCCACATGGTGCAGAGGGACATTTGTATTACGTAGAGTGATAGTAGGCAGATTAACATAAGACACCCCTGTGACAAATTGGTGGTCAGTTGTAGGATCACAGGGCATTCTGCCAGGACTGTGGTGGCTGCAGTCAAGACTTGACTACATAACTTATGTGGATAAAAGCAATGTGACCAGAGCACCATGTCCCAGCCATTTGCTTACAATTTATACATGAATATGCAGGCTTTGTAGCTTAGAAACTTACTAGCATTTTATAGAAAACTAGAGGCCCAGCACATGATTAAATTGTGCAAGTGTAGGGTCCCCTAGGCCTAGCCTGCCATCAGGGCCGTGTCTGCCGCCCTGCAACACCTCGCACGCTCTTCAGACGCTGCCAGCATCCAGAGGGGGTGGTGGGAAGGCCCAAGAGGTGCTCCATCACCTCCTGGTGACTGGTTGTTTGGTCGTTCTGCCTTTACAGCGTCATGACCACAGGCCTTTTATGATATAGACTAGAGGCCTGGTGCATGAAACCACTCCCCTGCCAGCCTGGTCGACGCCTAACTGTTCCCCTGCTGGCTCGATCGTCCCCAACTGCCCTCCCCTGCCGGCCCAGTCACCCCAACTGCCCTCCCCTGCAGGCCGGTCCCCCTCAATGGCCCTCCCCTGCAGGCCTGATCTCACCCCCAACTGCCCTCCCCTGCCAGCTTGGTTGCCCCCAACTGCCCTCCCATGCTGGCCTGTTCCCCCCTAATTGTCCTCCCCTAAAGGGGTGGGTCCCCCCAAATGTCCTCCCCTTCAGGCCTGGTCACCCCCAACTGCCTTCCCCTTTAGGCCTGGGTCCCTCCCAACTGTACTCCACTGCCAGCCCTCCCCTGTAGCCCATCTTGTGTGGGGGGGGGGGGGGGGGGGCAGGCATGCCCTTAGCCCAGTGGACACAATGCAAGGGATCCTCTGCAGCCCATGACACCTTTTCTTTTCTTTTTTAAAAACATATTTTATTGGTTTTTTACAAAGAAGAGGGGAGAGGGATAGACTGTTAGAAATATCGATGAGAGAGAAACATTGATTAGCAGCCTCCTGCACACTCCCTACTGGGGACATGCCCACAGCCAAGGTACATGCCCTTGACCAGGAATCGAACCTGGGATCCTTCAGTCCACAGACCAACTCTCTATCCACTGAGCCAAGCCAGTTAGGGCTGAATGGAGAATTTTAAGTAGTACCATTACCTATAAGTTTGTCTTATTAAATCTTAGTTTAATGGGGTTCAAATGTAAAATATTTTGTTTAAAATATTGGGATGTGCCCATCCAGTGTGGCTCAGGGTTGAGTGAAGTCCTATGAACCAGGAGGTCAGAGTTCGGTTCCTAGTCATGGCACATGCCCAGGCTGTGGGCTCAATCCCCAGTGTTGGGCATGCAGGAGGCAGCCAATCAATGATTCTCTCTCATCACTGATGTTTCTATCTCTCTCCCTCTCCCTTCTTCTCTGAAAAAGATCAACAAATACATATTTAAAAGGTAAATAAAATGAATTATTGATTAAATGAATGCACATGATTGGTGCCATTGTAATTGGGATTATTTTCTTAGTTTCCTGGGAAGCTCAGTTGGGAGAATATCTTCCTGAGATGCGAAGGTTGCGGGTTTGTTTCTTAGTCAGGTTACAAACAAAAATGCAGGGCCTCTGATAGCTCAGTTGGTAGAGCAGAGGATTGTAGCAGATGAAAATTTTTACTTTTAGTATTAAAATATGTTATAGTCTAGCCGGTTTGGCTCAGTGGTTGAGCGTCTACCTGTGAACCAGGAGGTCATGGTTTAATTCCCAGTCATGGCACATGCCCAGGCTGTGGGCTCAATCCCCAGTGTTGGGCATGCAGGAGGCAGCCAATCAATGATTCTCTCTCATCACTGATGTTTCTATCTCTCTCCCTCTCCCTTCTTCTCTGAAATCAATAAAAATGTATTTTTTTTAAAAGAAAGAAGCTACATAAGGGCTTCAAACTTAGCTCCAGTAGTATGATAAAAAGATAAGTGTAAGGTAAATTTTTTATGCTTTTCAATAGGATAATCATATACATTTAAATTTAAAGGTCCTTTGCATTCTGACATTTGTCTTTTGTATAGTTGCTGCGTATTCATAGTCACTTTTTGTGACACCTCAAGTGGTACGTAAAAAACTTTCTATTGCCAGAGATTTACATTTAAAGCAATATTACTACCCAAACTTCTATATTTCTTTTAACACATGGTTACCTGTTTATTTCTTCTATGCAGAGTAAATCCACACTCTTCTCAGGTTTTAAATTAAACTGAATTTTTTTGGAAGTTGACAGGTTCAACCTTTATTATAAAGCATGCTCAGCCCATCTGACCTAGTGAGCTTCATCATCAATGAGCCTGGGTATAAATGGGATTTTTTTTTTAAAAAAGGTATTATTGGTAATATTTTCATAAAGTGAAATTTTCTTATAAGGACACACTAGAAGACAGAAGGAAGGTATAAGGTATAGGAGTAAATGGAAAGAATGAGAGAACAAAATAATGGAAAAAGGAAGAAGAAAGAGGCTTCATTTTCTGGTACTATGGGAGGGGGGGGTGGATATACCATATTTTCAGACTTTACTGTATCTGAAAAATGTCAGGAGAACTAATCTCTAAGAATCTAAAACTTTGTAATTTCCAGTAATTGAAAAAATTATAAGATTCAAGCAGGAAAATTATACTTCTTATTGAACTTTTCATTCCCAGCTAATAGAGTTTCCTGTAAAAATTCTTGTCAAATTCTGGAGACCTTTCTAGAGATAATAACATGCTTGGTGTGCATTCATTATAGGCATTTTTCTTTTGGTTTTAAGAGGCTGTTAATATATCCTTACAAAGCTTTTTTTAAAAAATAATACCTTGCACATGCAGTGGAGCTATGAGAATTATATAAGCAAACAGTAATAACACTTTAACAGTAAGTTTAAACTTGATGTATAAAACTATATGGCATATAAAGTTATACGTGAAATATGTTTCAATGGACAAAAATCTATATGGGAAATGGTGAGAGGCAGATGGGAGTGGAAGCTTGTTTGGGCTTTGGCCCAACTCAGAGGCAACAGGG